GCTCCCCTTTTACAGTCTTAGGGTTAGGGAATCAGGGCAAGGGTCGGACTCCCCTTTTACAGTCTTAGGGTTAGAGAACCAGGACATGGTAGGGATCCTCTTTTTCCAGTTTTAGGGTTAGGGAACCAGGACATGGTGGGGCTCCCCTTTTACAGTCTTAGGGTTAGGGAACAAGGACATGGTAGTGCTCCCCTTTTACAGTCTTAGGGTTAGAGAATCAGGGCAAGGGTAGGGCTCCCCTTTTACAGTCTTAGGGTTAGAGAATCAGGGCAAGGGTAGGGCTCCCCTTTTACAGTCTTAGGGTTAGAGAATCAGGGCAAGGGTCGGACTCCCCTTTTACAGTCTTAGGGTTAGGGAATCAGGGCAAGGGTAGGGCTCCCCTTTTACAGTCTTAGGGTTAGAGAATCAGGGCAAGGGTAGGGCTCCCCTTTTACAGTCTTAGGGTTAGAGAACCAGGACATGGTGGGGCTCCCCTTTTACAGTCTTAGGGTTAGAGAACCAGGACATGGTGGGGCTCCCCTTTTACAGTCTTAGGGTTAGGGAACCAGGACATGGTGGGGCTCCCCTTTTACAGTCTTAGGGTTAGGGAACCAGGACATGGTAGTGCTCCCCTTTTACAGTCTTAGGGTTAGAGAATCAGGGCAAGGGTAGGGCTCCCCTTTTACAGTCTTAGGGTTAGAGAATCAGGGCAAGGGTAGGGCTCCCCTTTTACAGTCTTAGGGTTAGAGAACCAGGACATGGTGGGGCTCCCCTTTTACAGTCTTAGGGTTAGAGAACCAGGACATGGTGGGGCTCCCCTTTTACAGTCTTAGGGTTAGGGAACCAGGACATGGTGGGGCTCCCCTTTTACAGTCTTAGGGTTAGGGAACCAGGACATGGTAGTGCTCCCCTTTTACAGTCTTAGGGTTAGAGAATCAGGGCAAGGGTAGGGCTCCCCTTTTACAGTCTTAGGGTTAGGGAATCAGGGCAAGGGTAGGGCTCCCCTTTTACAGTCTTAGGGTTAGAGAATCAGGGCAAGGGTAGGGCTCCCCTTTTACAGTCTTAGGGTTAGGGAACCAGGACATGGTAGTGCTCCCCTTTTACAGTCTTAGGGTTAGAGAATCAGGGCAAGGGTAGGGCTCCCCTTTTACAGTCTTAGGGTTAGAGAATCAGGGCAAGGGTAGGGCTCCCCTTTTACAGTCTTAGGGTTAGGGAATCAGGGCAAGGGTCGGACTCCCCTTTTACAGTCTTAGGGTTAGAGAACCAGGACATGGTAGGGATCCCCTTTTTCCAGTTTTAGGGTTAGGGAACCAGGACATGGTGGGGCTCCCCTTTTACAGTCTTAGGGTTAGGGAACAAGGACATGGTAGTGCTCCCCTTTTACAGTCTTAGGGTTAGAGAATCAGGGCAAGGGTAGGGCTCCCCTTTTACAGTCTTAGGGTTAGAGAATCAGGGCAAGGGTAGGGCTCCCCTTTTACAGTCTTAGGGTTAGAGAATCAGGGCAAGGGTCGGACTCCCCTTTTACAGTCTTAGGGTTAGGGAATCAGGGCAAGGGTAGGGCTCCCCTTTTACAGTCTTAGGGTTAGAGAATCAGGGCAAGGGTAGTGCTCCCCTTTTACAGTCTTAGGGTTAGAGAACCAGGACATGGTGGGGCTCCCCTTTTACAGTCTTAGGGTTAGGGAACAAGGACATGGTAGTGCTCCCCTTTTACAGTCTTAGGGTTAGAGAATCAGGGCAAGGGTAGGGCTCCCCTTTTACAGTCTTAGGGTTAGAGAATCAGGGCAAGGGTAGGGCTCCCCTTTTACAGTCTTAGGGTTAGAGAATCAGGGCAAGGGTCGGACTCCCCTTTTACAGTCTTAGGGTTAGGGAACCAGGACATGGTAGTGCTCCCCTTTTACAGTCTTAGGGTTAGAGAATCAGGGCAAGGGTAGTGCTCCCCTTTTACAGTCTTAGGGTTAGAGAACCAGGACATGGTGGGGCTCCCCTTTTACAGTCTTAGGGTTAGAGAACCAGGACATGGTAGGGTTCCTCTTTTTCCAGTTTTAGGGTTAGGGAATCAGGGCAAGGGTCGGGATCCCCTTTTACAGTCTTGGGGCTAGGGAACAAGAACATGGTAGGGCTCCCCTTTTAGTGTCCTTGAATCCATGCCTGAGTGATCACTGTCCAAATCTTATGTATCTGTGTATCCTGCACGTCTTTGGCATTCTAGATCTCTGGGCCACTGACATATGACAGAATCTGTGGTTTTGTTTCCTGCACATCTTTGGCATTCTAGATCTCTGGGCCACTGACATATGACAGAATCTGTGGTTTTGTATCCTGCACATCTTTGGCATTCTAGATCTCTGGGCCACTGACATATGACAGAATCTGTGGTTTTGTATCCTGCACATCTTTGGCATTCTAGATCTCTGGGCCACTGACATATGACAGAATCTGTGGTTTTGTATCCTGCACATCTTTGGCATTCTAGATCTCTGGGCCACTGACATATGACAGAATCTGTGGTTTTGACTTTTGTCAGATTATGTATCGTGTTTGTTGTATTTTATTATAGATATATATTTCATTGTACAGTTGACATTGTCAGTTTCATTTGTCCTTAAATTTTGTGCCGCATATTCCTGCTCCCTATTACAACGATGGCTCAATTTTATCGTAAAATATAGCACAGGCTGTAGGAAAGGACACATGTATGTGGCTTGGAGAAAATCATAGGTGGGTATAATTGCGTTTGTTGCTTGCGAGGCTGATTGTTTGCATACAACTGACCATGATACTTTAAATAATAGCGTCAAGCCTAAATATATATAATAAGTAACAATTTTTAAGGCGATATTACTATATGTCCATTTCTTCAATTGTTGCAATGATACCTCCATTTAAAAAGATAAATACATGTGTTTTTTTGGACACCCACCTAAGTGTAAGCTGGTGAGACATAACATTTTCTCCTGACATTCACACCCTTGTAATAAAGATAAGGCCGTTATCATCTCCCGCCCGACCTGAAATTATTAAAATACTTCTAATACTTTTCTTATCACATCTCTCCCGCTGCAGTTTAAATTTATGTATCGCCCGATTAACCAAAAAGTAAAAAATGCTGCTTCTATTGCATACTAAAAAACCCAACTCTCCTTGATCATTCTTCAGCTATATTTATTAAAAAATCGATTCCAAAGCAAAATGACTAGATCTACGTCATCAATTTAAGGACTGCTTGCGTGTTCTAAACCTTAAGCCTGGCCGCTGACAATGAAAATGACACATATTTATTCCACTTTTTGTCAATTATTACATTACATTACATTACATTACATTACATAACATTAAGCCCAGCCCAGCCCAGCCCAGCCCAGCCCAGCCCCGCTCCGCTCAGCATAAAATATACGCACGCAGGGGAAGACATTTTCAACCACTAGTCGATAGCAACACAACACAGCACGGCAGGAAACAAACATGAATGGTAGATATGAGCCCTATCCCATCCTGTGCTAGATATAATACCTTTTCCACACCCAGAGCAAAGCCATCTTGCTCAAGAGATATATACAGTACTATGCAATATTGTACTGCCATCTAAACCACGCATTATTACAACAATGTTATTGATAGGCCGTAACAACCTCAGTTGATACATTGTCACACTTTCCTCTCACAAGTTGTTGCAAGTAAACTTTATTCTAAAATGTTTCCACGTAAAAGGACAGATGTTCCCACTTGGATTCGAACGTCAACCCTTGCGATTCTGAACTCAGCAACCCTACCCCTCTGCTACCAAGACTCTCGTGATCGAATTGGATATTTGGAGACTATTTATGTTTTTAAGAAATTGTTCTTGAGAAGGGTCAAGGCGATATAGTTACTTATATCCGTTTTGTATCTATAGTGTGGGGTGTGGTATTACCAGCTGATCATTCCGTACATGAGGTATGGGCCGGGCCAGAACACCAACACCATTCTTAAACTTTCTCGGCCGACAGATGTTTCAGTGGCAACACAGGAGAGAGGACACCGGTCGTTTGTAGTTTTATAAATCAGAATATTCATATTGGCAAACACATTTGCGACGAGACTGTGTGCAAAGAGGAAAGTCCCCACATCGTGCAGCTTGTGTTACACAGAAAGTTAAAAAATACCACCGTATCTGGTCCCCTGTACTTTGTTCTTTGAGAAAAATGAGTACATTGCAATCATAACGTGCAAAATTCTTCCACTGCTTATCAGTGGCTGTGTGGGCGAATGGGTAGCGTGCTGAACTTACGATATATACAGTGGATGGAATTTCGAGTTCGATCCCACTTGGATGTTTTGTAAATATTAGATTTTGATGACACTGTATAAAGTGTTAATTTAAAGCAGAACATACTTGTAATTCAGAGCACCCGAGGCTGCATGACGATAATTAACCTATCCACTTTGAATATTAGGCAGGTGACGCTCATCATATCGTCATAATTTATTTTCGTGGAAAATATGGCGCTTTTTCGAAGGAGCTCAAGAGAAGTGCGACCGTCAGATATGAGTTTTATACGAATTTGTCCCTTCCTTTGTCAGACACAGAATATTTGAAATCACAAACTTGTGGCTGAAGTGCATTTCCAACATCAAGGAAATGACGTTTACATACACGCCTTACTTTCACTGGCCTTAGATTTAGGGGATTTTGAATTTAAAGTTTGAATAGTGCCCTGAGAAATGGTAAAAGTTATATAAATATAACATACAATATTCAACAAAATATTATTCAAAATCAACGAAAAGCTTTGCTCTTTTTCTTTTCGATTCTATCAGTCGTATATGTCTTTGTGGTTGAGGCTTCTTCTGCGTATTTACAAAAGTGGAACTGTTATGTAATATGTAGTATTCACCCAGGAACTACTTCTGCCACGTTTTCAACTAATTAGTATGCGCTGGGACACCAACCACCTTGCACCTTGCACCCCGCACCCCCACAAAACAAGGACAGAAGGGGCAACTTACTCCAAGACCCAAGTAGTCAAAGGGCAGACAATTAACGGAGGGCATAAAACCGCACGTGCCCCGAGTCATCCTGCCTGGTGTCTTATCAGTCAATCACAACGACGACGACAACAACAACAACAGCTTCAGCATCCTAATGCAGCCGTTTCGTATTCAGGGCACAGATAGAAAAAGGTAGAGTATATGTTAACACTGCAACTTCATGTTCGTCTCCCATTCGCCACTCCAGAAAACCCCTGTGTCTGTCATCCGTATTTCTGCTTTGCAACGTCTTTAAACCTGAACCGAAATAAATACCATTGAATCAGTGAAAGTACCAAATTAATATATCCTCGTCATTAGCTCCACGTTCAGCACAATGTGACCTTTACTTGCCTATTTACTGATTAGGGATTCCTTCACTGAATTCCCAAATATAAATGCATCAAATCATGAATGACTTGGCCTCGATAGCCTCACCTACTTGACTCATATTGTCGATTTGTGCATTTCAATTGTTCTTTAAAATTTGATTAGTAATCAGGCGAATATGTCGCTCATTTCACAGAACGTCGGGGTTGGGGTGGGTGTTGGGGTGGGTTTGGGGTGGGGTGGGGGGTTTGGGTGGGTGGTTGGTTGGTTGTATGAAAACATCGTTTTGAATTAAAACTTAGTATTTGTTGGTTGGCCATGTCATCAGCACAGATCCGAATCCGTACATGTGTTTAGTGTCGGATCTGCGTCGAGATTCGCCTGCTGGATGATAACGTTAAGCTTCGTCTCGGGTAGAGCACCTAATTGCCATGGGGATTTTATGGACGCATCAAACAATTGCGAAACAGAACTAAGCGTTATTATTACAGCAACATGACGGCAGTTTGTAAATAATCGAGTCTGGAGGGAATATGCTCGGGATTGTAGGAGTCAATGTTTGCCAAAGACAGGAACAACATAAAAAGACTCCAAACCCAGCTAGACAAATAGTTGTGGAGTCAGAAAGTAGCTTACAAGATGATGATTTGAAAATATTGTCATTACATATGGCGCCATGGTTTGTGTATTTCATGCATTAGAATTGAAGAATGGATTTTAATCAATTGTTTTGGTATCTCTTTTGATGATGTTTTGAAATGTTGTTGAATATTGCTGACTTGAACATCATGATGTTGATCTTTACTGGTGTTAACCAAGTCAGATTTAGCGATAGTTTTCTTTGAGTACTCCCTTCGTATTGACTCACGTCAGGGATGGTTACAAGTGTAGGCCCAATCAAACGTGCCCGGTCAGGACAACCTTGTCGGTCTCTCGGCAGGCTTACAACTGTACCAGAAAAGATTGAACAAACATACATGTGTACTATACTCAGAGGATTATTGTCAGGGATGGAGTAACTTTGGTCCCAACTGGAGACATTTAGACCTTTGTTCATATTTATGAACTCTTTAGTCTGTAAACTGGAATGTCATTTGATAAGCAGGCATGTTTTAGATAGCACAGGGACATGTTGTGGTGGGAAATATTTGTCTTAATGCATGGTGAAAAAGATAATTTTTTATACCAGAATGTTGCTTGATAAACATTAGTTTTATATGGCCTTTTGACATGCACCAAAGGGATAAGGAATATATATTACAAATTAGATAAATATTTGTATACACATGTATAAAGATATGAAATAATGTATGTAAATGATATTTTAGCACTTTCTGTAATCAAAAAAGTTTTTGTCTGGAGAAACAGATGTTGCATTTAATGTTATTGATATACAGGCTGTGCCAAAAACTATTGAGTCAACTTGCCCAAAACTTGGCTCTTTGCTTCATTTTTCATGCATTTTAGTGTTAATTGTATGGTCTAAAGGGACTAGTATTAGTTAAAGGCACATGACTGATCTGAATTTTACTAGACTGCCGCTTTAGACTAGTGGCTAAAGTCGCCTAAAGTACAGGCAACCCCTAGACTAACACCTAGTCAATGAAAACATGTCTTTAAAAATACTATAAAATTGTTTTTTCGAAAGCTAACTAGACCTGGTTAGTTTGATCTAGACTTGCATAGGCTTCTAGTAGAAAGAGAATATAAATTCCACAGTCATGGTGCAGGACACAGGCAACCCATATGTATTCATTCATGGTAATACCCAGAGACATCTCCACGGAGCCTGGGATGTACATATTGCCTTACTGGACAAACATGGGAGCTGGATTAGTGAGAGTTACAGTGTCATTAAGATTGATGTTGTTGTTGTCGCAGGCAGGCATTGTTGGGGATGAGGGATGAGGGACATGGGAGGATGGTGAAACAGAATACTGTGAATACAGATGATGTTATTAGGGAGCCCAGTCTTTGGGGACCCGTGTGGTTTGGATGTCACGGACTTGGCTCATGTCGCCCACCTAACCCTTGTGGGGCTTTACTGACCACGAGGTCGTGGTAGATGTGTTGTTGAAGTGTGACCAGTAATTGGGTGTTTGTAATTGTTGTTTGGAACACATTCATAGCCAATTCATATTCCTGTGACTTGGGATATGTTTGAGTATGAAGGTAATGAACATGTTATCACAATTGTTGGTTGGCCGATAGTTCCAGTGCTGCTCATTCTGGGGTGGTCCAGAGGGTAAAGTGGTTGCTCATCATGATGAAGATCCAGGTTCTATTCTCAACATGGGTACAATATGCAGTCTGCAATTTTTGCCACTAGTCCAAAGCCTGAGTCTGGTAAATTGTTTCCAGTTTCAGCAATAGAAACTAACAGTTTTAGTCCACTAACCCCTAAAATGATAACAAATAGCAAAACCCTGAGGGCCAATTTCTATTAGTCCTATTGGGCAATTTGGCAAGGACTATAGGAGTAGTGCCAATCTCTAATGCTGAGATTAGTAAGAAAAGTTGATCATTGTATAGCATCACCACCAGGTATAGCATCACTGTATAGCATCACAACCAGGTATGGCATCACTGTAGAGCTTCACAACCTGGTGTAGCATCACTGTATAGCATCACCACCAGGTATGGCATCACTGTTTAGCATCACAACCAGGTATAGCATCACTGTATAGCATCACAACCAGGTATGGCATCACTGTATAGTATCACAACCAGGTATAGCATCACTGTTTAGCATCACAACCAGGTATAGCATCACTGTATAGCATCACCACCAGGTATGGCATCACTGTATAGCATCACCACCAGGTATAGTCTCACTGTATAGCATCACAGCCAGGTATAGCATCACTGTATAGCATCACAACCAGGTAGAGCATCACAACCAGGTAGAGCATCACTGTATAGCATCACTGTATAGTATCACAACCAGGTATAGCATCACTGTATAGCATCACAACTAGGTATAGCATCACAACCAGGTATAGCATCACTGTATAGCATCACAACCAGGTATAGCATCACTGTATAACATCACAACCAGGTATAGCATCACTGATAGCATCACAACCAGGTATAGCATCACAACCAGGTATAGCATCACAACCAGGTATAGCATCACTGTTTAGCATCACTGTATAGCATCACAACCAGGTATAGCATCACTTTATAGCATCACAACCAGGTATAGTATCACTGTATAGCATCACAACCAGGTAGAGCATCACTGTATAGCATCACAACCAGGTTTAGCATCACTGTATAGCATCACAACCAGGTATAGCATCACTGTATAGCATCACAACCAGGTATAGCATCACTGTATAGTATCACAACCAGGTATAGCATAACTGTATAACATCACAACCAGGTATAGCATCACCACCAGGTATAGCATCACTGTATAGCATCACCACCAGGTATAACATCACTGTAGAGCATCACTGTATAGCATCACAACCAGGTATAGCATCACTGTATAGCATCACAACTAGGTATAGCATCACTGTATAGCATCAATCACTGTATAGCATCACAACCAGGTATAGTCTCACTGTATAGCATCACTGTATAGCATCACAACCAGGTATAGCATCACTGTATAGCATCAATCACTGTATAGTATCACAACCAGGTATAGCATCACTGTATAACATCACAACCAGGTATAGCATCACCACCAGGTATAGCATCACTGTATAGCATCACAACCAGGTATAGCATCACTGTATAGCATCACCACCAGGTATAGCATCACTGTATAGCATCACAACTAGGTATAGCATCACTGTATAGCATACAACCAGGTATAGCATCACTGTATAGCATCACTGTATAGCATCACCACCAGGTATAGCATCACTGTATAGCATCACAACCAGGTATAGCATCACTGTATAGCAACACCATCGGGTATAACATCACTGTATAGCATCACCACCAGGTATAGCATCACTGTATAGCATCACAACCAGGTATATCATCACTGTCTAGCACCACAACCAGGAATAGCATCACTATAGCATCACAACAGGGTATAGCATCACAACCAGATATAGCATCACTGTATAGCATCACAACTAGGTATAGCATCACAACCAGGTTTAGCATCACTGTATAGCATCACTGTATAGCATCACTGTATAGCATCACCACCATGTATAACATCACTGTAAAGCATCACCACCAGGTATAGCATCACTGTATAGCACCACAACCAGGAATAGCATCACTATAGCATCACAACCAGGTATAGCATCACAACCAGGTATAGCATCATTGTATAGCATCACAACCTGGTATAGCATCACTGTATAGCATCACAACCAGGTATAGCATCACTGTATAGCATCACAACCAGGTATAGTCTCACTGTATAGCATCACTGTATAGCATCACAACCAGGTATAGCATCACTATAGCATCACAACCAGGTATAGCATCACTGTATAGCATCACAACCAGGTATAGCATCATTGCATAGCATCACTGTATAGCATCACAACCAGGTATAGTCTCACTGTATAGCATCACTGTATAGCATCACAACCAGGTATAGCATCACTGTATAGCATCACAACCCGGTATAGCATCACTGTATAGAATCACCACCAGGTATAGCATCACTGTATAGCATCAAAACCAGGTATAGCATCACTGTTTAGCAATGCAACCTTGTAAACGTTATCACCAAAATTATGTTAGTGTAGCATACCAAATATAATGTCTCAATCATCACTTATTCACAATTTAGGAAAAAGAAATTACTAATATTATTAATGAGTGTTTATAGATATACTTAGTTTCATGCGTTCATCATCAGTATTATACAAAGGCACAGAGCAACATGTATTTGACTAATAAGTATAACTGCAGCTGACAGGTACATGTTGTAATACTTTGATATAACTCAAAAGAAACTATAGTTTTGTGTGTTGTCCACTTTCCAGTGCCAAATGTAAGCTTTGAAGTCTACTCTTCGTCTTTCCTGGAGAAGTTCCTAGAAAGCCACGCAGTCATGACACAGGTAAGGCTAAAAAAATAATAGTCCTGGTGCCCAGGCACTGCCCACATCAGACCCGTGAAGATTCCGGGGTAGAATAGGTCTTCAGCAACCCATGCTTGCCGTAAAGGGTGACCATGCTTGTCGTGAAAGGCGACTGACGGGATCAGGTGGTCAGGCTTGCTGACTTGGTTGATGCATGTCATCGATCCCAATTGCGTGGATCTATGCGCATGATATCAATCACTGGATTGTCTGGTCCAGGCTCGATTATCTACAGACCGCCGTCATATAGCTGGAATATTGCTGAGTGTGGCGTTAAACAACAAACCAACCAACCAACTGCCCACATCGTCATAAAGTTCGCCACACGTTTCTTTTTTATTTCATTTTTTTTTAAATTTAAAAAAAAATCCATAAATATTCCTAGCTCAAATACTGTATTCCAGTATTATAATCACCAAGGAATACATTTATGTAGGAAGGCCCTTTCCCAGGTTGATTGTACACAACTGTTTATTTGCTTACATACTAGTTTGAATAACAAAAAAAACACACCGCCCGACCGCACTAAACTTTCAAAAGCCCATTTCCTGAGAACCAATTCTTTATTTTGTAAGCCTAAGAAGTTTGACATTGTCAGAAGGAAGAAACCATTATTAGATGGGTTGAGGCTCTGTGGTTTATTGTATGATGTGAAAGAACCTCTCCATATGTCTGATCTTTCTACTTCCTTTAGAGAATAGGGGGCACGGGTGGCCCAGTCGTCTAAGGCGCAGCAATTCTCTGTGCAGAGTTGCGTCCCTTGGGCACGCCAGAAACCTATGATTGTGGGTTCGAATCCCGGTTCACCCCGATTATGTTTCTAGGTTTGTCAGCACCATACCCATGCTCGTGGGTTTCACCGAAGTGGTAAACGTCTGAGACCTGCATCACTTCGGGCTCTCCTCCCACATTAAGCTGACACGCCGCGATATAACTGGAATACTGTTAAAAGCGGCTTTAAACCCATCTCACTCGCTCCTTTAGAGAATAACAGTTTTAAATGCAGTTTACATCCACATTTGTCACACATTTGAAAGATGAAAGGATCAATTCAGCTTGTTTCAGTTGTAAATTAGCAATGTTTTAATTTCATGAACGTTTTGATTACTCAGTCAAAATGTTTTTTAAATGTGAGTTTTCATCCTATGAAACCATTGCAGAAAGCCCCTGTGTCGATATGCTGCTTCAGTTAGAGTCTCATTTACCACTCTCGTCCTTCACAGGGAAACAGTGGGCTGAAACCTAAAGAAGGGGAGATAACTTCCAGACCCTGGCAGTGGCCAATCAACTACAGGGTAAGTTTATGGGTTTGATTTTGTCACTGGTGAGACAGACAGTCACATGTAACCCTATCTTGTGAGAAGGCTGAAAGCAGGAACTAGTGATCTTAATGGCTGACCGCTAGGAGAGGTTCTCGTTTCACTACAGTGACGACTTAGAGGATTGAGCATCAGCCCAGAAAGCCGAAGGTTGGTGGTTTGATCCAGGCTGCATCATACCATACGATGTTAAAAGATGGTAACCTGCCTTGTTCTCAGCATTAAGGAGATAGAACAAGGACTGTCTGCTTTGGAGTCTGTATACTGTGTCTGTATACTGTGTGGGGGCGGTCGGGTAGCCTGTTGGTTAAAGCGTTCGCTCTACACATCAAAGACCAAGGTTCGATTCCCGACATGGGTACAATGTGTGAAGCCCATTTCTGGTGTCCCCCGTCATGATATTGCTGGAATATTGCTTAAAGCGGCGTAAAACCATACTCACTCACTCACTGTATACTGTGTCTGAGTGGGGTATCTACAGATTATTTACAGATCGCCGTCATATAGCTGGAATATTGCTGAGTGCGGCGTAAAACAACAAACCAACCAACAAAAATCAATTAGTGATATGATTGCACGTTCTTTTCTTTCTGTAGGGTCAGATATTTTCTGCCAAGAACCACCGTATCTACCTCCTGGGCAATCCTGTCATCTTCTGGGGACTGCTTGTTATCAAGGCCTTGTTCCTCGTGTTCTTCGTTATACACAGGATAAAGTTAAAGCGTGGTATTCAAGTACCTGAGCCTATCAAAGGTAAGTGAGAGATCACCGCCTCAGGTTGTATGCTGTCATATCTACTGAACACAGACACTGCTCCTTGACAGACAGGTCCCCAATGTCTGTGATGTGTGCAAATTGTGAACAATCGATTACCTTCTGTTGATTATTTATATATGTAAGATATACATCTGATATCACTTTTGCCTTTCTTTTTGAGCAGAGTATATTATCTATTGATATTATTTATTCTTCATCATGAATCGTGTGCTGGATGTCCTCCTATACGCATAATGCACTGTGACCTACTTCATGCACTGTGACCTACTTCATGCACCATGCACTGTGACCTACTTCATGCACCATGCACTGTGACATACTTCATGCACCATGCACTGTGACCTACTTCATGCAGTGTGACCTACTTCATGCAGTGTGACCTACTTCATGCATCATGCACTGTGACCTACTTCCTGCACCATGCACTGTCACCTACTTCATGCACCATGCACTGTCACCTACTTCATGCCCTATCACCTACTTCATGCATCGTACACTGTGACCTACTTCATGCATCATGCACTGTCACCTACTTCATGCACTGTCACCTACTTCATGCACTGTCACCTACTTCATGCACTGTCACCTACTTCATTCACTGTCACCTACTTCATGCATTATGCACTGTCACCTACTTCATTCATTGTCACCTACTTCATGCACTGTCACCTACTTCATGCACTGTCGCCTACTTCATTCACTGTGACCTACTTCATGCATTATGCACTGTCACCTACTTCATTCATTGTCACCTACTTCATGCACTGTCACCTACTTCATGCACTGTCACCTACTTCATTCACTGTGACCTACTTCATGCATTATGCACTGTCACCTACTTCATTCATTGTCACCTACTTCATGCATTGTCACCTACTTCATGCACTGTCATCTACTTCATGCACTGTCACCTACTTCATGCACTGTCACCTACTTCATGCATTATGCACTGTCACCTACTTCATTCACTGTCACCTACTTCATTCACTGTCACCAACTTCATGCACTGTGACCTACATCATGCACTGTCACCTACTTCATGCATCATGCACTGTCACCTACTTCATTCACTGTGACCTACTTCATGCAATGTGACCTACTTAATGCATCATGTGACATACTTCCTGTCTGTTTCCCTTCCAGTGTACAATGAGAAGATGTTCCGGGCGTGCTGGTGGCTGCTGCTGGGCTGGGGGCTGCACTACCTGCCCTTCTGGGGCATGGGCCGCGTCCTGTACTTCCACCACTACTTCCCCGCCTTCCTGTTCAGCGCCATGTTCGGAGGTACAGTAACCTACCCATGCACTGACACCACGGGATCACGTCTTGGGATATTGGGTTAAGACACATGGAGGCTAATGACAGTGTGAGGGTTCAATTGGTTTGGAATCTGGAGATGGATGTTGAGGTGGCAATGATGTTGTCATCGAGACTTAATTTGTTTTTACGGAACTGAAAGCAGAAATGACAACCTTCTGATATTGGCATAATCATTACCATATTGTGAGCAGAATTCTGCCACTATGATAAAGTGAAGTATATTATAAAGTTTATGAAAACATCATTGCCATTAATTTTGACTAGTTATTGACCTCGCAACAGGAATTGTCATTTATACAACCATTTGATATATCTAATCACTTGATTTAGCTTGCAAAGTTTAGATGATAATATACAATGCAAAAGATATATATTTTAATCAAAACCATAGTCAATCATGCTAATCAGTGCTAATGGCAAATACGAATCTGCCTTTTGATTTTTTTTTCAAATCGGATTCAAGTGACCTTGTATATCATATCATATCATATCATATCATATCAAATATCATATCATATCATATCATCATATCATATCATATCATATCATATCATATCATATCATATCATATCATATCATATCATATCATATCATATCATATCATATCATCCATAGCCTGTCCTATTCTATTACTTATGTACCTGAAAACACATGGATTATGATGCTGAAACTTCTTAGCAATGGTCTCATTATTGGGGCAATCTATGATGAGCTTGGGTCAACCTTAGCGCTAAGATGATCGTAACTCCCATACTCTAACATAGGCTCACAATAGTCATAGATCGCTAAGATCGCTTTGTGGAATGGGCCTGCCCTTGTTGCTGATTTACTGACACGTCTACTGTCTGTCTGTCACAGGTGTGATGCTGGACTACCTCATCACCCGATTCTGTCTGACACTGCCGGAGAACTGGGCGGTGAAAGTATTCCCCTGGCTGCTGGTGTTAATCATCTTTGTGCTGGTTGGCAGGTAATGTCCTTCACAGACATATACAGTCAAGAGACTATCTACAGTTTGAAATACACTTCTGATAATACAGTTACCCTGTCTGGCGCACGGCATTAAGGGGCTACCTCCGTGGTCTAGTGCTCGAGCGTCCGCCCAGAGAGCGGAAGGTCCGGGGTTCGATCCCTGGCCGTGTCATACCAAAAGACGATAAAAGATGGTACTTGTTGTTACCCTGTCTGGCGCTCGGCATTAAAGGGCTAAAACAAGGACTGGTCGGCTTGGAGTCAGTATACTGTGTCTGAGTGGGGTATTCATGTTAAACTGCGGCATGGTATCTCAGTGATCTAGCACTATAATTCGGCATCAGTCCGGACCAGTACTAGCAGCCACACAAACACACACACGTGCATGCACGTTGCTATATAAGTGCAATAATCTTGGACACTACGTTTAACCCCATTTCACTTGTCTTCATCCTGTGTGACAACAATATTAATTATCATTTTTAAGCCTTTTTTTCAAATCATATTTTTCATATTTTTTACTTATCCTGCATTACTCCTTAATGCATTCACTGCTTACTTACGACAACTAGAAGGACAGCGCTGCGAAGGTCCTGGGTGAAGAAATAAAGTTGTTGTTCTCAAGTCCCAATCAGTGGCCTTCCGTCGCTGTCCTGTGACCTTGATGACACCTAAGGTCATCTTCACATCACTGCTTGTCGCAGCACAGCTAGGACGTGTCCAAGCGGAGCTCTCCTTTTGGATTAATTTTAGACCTTCAGTTTGTCTACAATCTTAAAAATTGATCTGCGATGGGTGATGTATTCTTTTCATATTACTTTCACCATGTTGTGTAGTTTTATGTGAATTAATTAGGCGTGAAAAGACGCTTGTCTTTTTTCCCGCCAAAATATTGTTGTTCGCCGCCATTTTGAATTGTGTTACAATCGTTTGCCTGCCAAGGTAGTCATATTGTTTACAATTCTCAGCTACGTATGTATAACATATTCTTATGTTCTTAAATATTACTAGCTTTGGCGTAACAGTGAGTTGCGTATACTAAAATTATTGTATACTTTTTCAACTCGTTAAAAATATGGTTGCCGATAGATTAATATCAAATCTACGGCTTTCTTCCAGTCCCGCTTCATCAACAATTCTTTTATTGCGTACCTATGTTTATGTGATTAAATAGTTTTTTGTTGGTATTTTTGGTTTTACATTGAGTTGCGTATATGAACTATTGTATACTCTTGCAACTCGTAGTTTTTGCCGATAGATTATTGTTCAATTCTATGGCATTCTTCCAGTACCGCCTCATCAACAATGGCGTAATTGTGTTTGTTTTAAACATATTTTATTGACATATATGGTCAACGGGATTGGGCAAAAGTTATCCAACTTAGGTGGCCCTTTCCCTACTCTATATGTACAGACATTGAATATACATATATATATGTAATTGTGTAACTTATGATTGAGCGTGGTATTAATTGTCGTGGGAAAAATCTTACAAAGATTATCATCCACGTTGTTTGGTTTGCGCGCAGATGTGCTCTCCAAACCCTAAATAAAAATATAAATACCCTTGGTTTACATTGGATTGCGCATACAAAAATATTGTATATCCTTGCAACTCATAAATTTGCCGATAGATTAGTGTTCAAATTCTTCGGCACTCTTCCAGTATTATCTCATCAACAAGGGTTTCATTGCGTAACATACCTTTGAGCATTTTACTAATTGTCGTGGAAAAAAACCTTACAAGATTATCATCCACGATTGGTTGGTTTGCGCGCGGATGTGCAAAATCTCTAAATGTAAATAGCCTTGGTTTACATTGAATTGCGTATATAAAAATATTGTATACCCTTGCAATTCGTATTTTTGCCGATAGATTACTGTTCAATTCTACGGCATTCTTCCAGTACCATTTCTTCAATGGTTTAATTGCGTAACATAATTATGTTTGTTCGGTGTACATATTGTCGTGGAATAATCGCCCAAAGCTCTTTATCCACGGTCATAGGCATGCACGTAGATGTGCTCGCCAAAATTCAAAATGTAATTTTTATGTAAATCTCTAATCCAACGAGTTTACTATATAAAAGCAGATTACTCACAATCATATTTTGCAGTTATTCCGTCGTGAGACGAGAGGAATGTCACTATCGCAGAATAGCGAATGACATATGGTTCTGTCATTACCACCCAACCGTTATTATCGGCAGGTGTTATGACGACTGTGATTGCAGAAGTACACCATCCACCGAAATCAACAATACCGGAGGATTTTGTGAGTATCGTAACTGCTCCTATTTTTTCAGCCGCCGGACACTTCCAGATACATGTATGATAATCTGTGACGTCGGCGACAGCACCAGCACCAACGTATCGAGATGCTATGATGGGGGTAGATTAGACGCAAGCCTTGATCCAGTCAATACTTTTGAGCTTTGTGTCTGATTTATCTGCGCCGAGCGCAGCACTTGACTACAACCCAAGCACTTCTATTACGCAAGCGGCGCACGATCAGCTTAGCGCTGTTCCAACATATCCAGCATAGACCTGCGCCGAGCGCAGCGTCTGACTGCTACCCAAAGCGCTCCTATTACGCAAACGTCGCACGATCAGCTTAGCGCTGTTCCAACATTCCAGACCTGCGCTGAGCGCAGCGTCTGCGTATCAATCAAGGTCTCTACAATGACGTAAGCCCAAGGCTTACAGTGTACTCGGTTACGTAACCGGCACATGATCAGCTTAGCACATGTACCCGATTGGGAAGCAGACCATCTCGTGTCAGTAACGCCCTCCCCTGATAACAGGGTAAATAAGAGGGACACCACGAGGTCATTGGAGGAAGCCTTCTCTGAAACTCACATTTGCTCCGTGATTTAAGCGACCAATATCGTCAATGTTTGCAGTGGATCAGAATCTATTAGAGGATAACCCTATCTGATTAGATCACTTCCAAACTATGGTGTTTTTCCCACAGCGTCAGTTTGACGGTGATTACCGTTACACCCAAGACTTTATAGCGTTTCCAACTGAGATGCTGATTTCAAGGGCAGTCTATTACGTCAACCTTGATCATCTACTCCCCTGTTCAACGAACAGATCGCAGACACGCACGTCAAGTTCCCAAAAGGCTTGGAAAGTCCAAGTCAGGGAATTATAAGCCTAGACGCGCGTTTCTCAGGGAAGACCAGCATTCCTTTACTGAGAAAGGGAGTGGCAGAGACAAGTCTCAAGGACGATTTCGTACTTATCGCACTATATCATGGTGTCCGTATAAGGGTAGAGTTAACCCCACCGTTGACCACAGTTTGATTGGGAAAATCCAACATAGACATACTGTTGGTAAGAAGAGCTGTAGAGTGGGTTCACAACCCAGTCTTTACTCCGGGGTTTTATCCTCACACCTACCTGGTACTCATGAAGGACCCAGACAAGATGAGAATGATCCACAATCTCTGTGTTCAACGAACGTTTGATTCTTCATCAGTCTCGACTATCCATCCCAACCGTAGACTTTTCAGGTCCAGTTCATTGGGGTTCACTACCAATGGTAGTATTTCCCATTTGACATGTCAGTGACACTTATGGCTAATTACAGGAGTAATGAAGCCAATAACTATCTACACGTGACGAACACTTGGTTCGAGTCGTAGATGGAGGGCGATCTACTGTATCATCAACACATGTCAATAACTGGGATAGACAATCAACGAGGCGAAGTCGGGAGTATTCTCCTTCCTATTGACTTCAGTTCATAGGAGACCTGTTTAAGACAGACCAGGATATCCTATCTGTACCGAGGGACAGATGGCACAAGTTTCTACTTCTTTTGTCATCTACTCTACACCAACCACACACACTTCGCCAGTGGCAAGTGTTGCTAGGGTTAATCACCTCGGCACAGGAGTTAACTAGCATGGGCCGCTTACAACAGCGACCAATTCAATTTTTTCCTGAACCCTTACATCAGGAGTCAGGATCCACTCAAGGCCATCACTCTACCAACTAAGCTAGAGCCTTGCCTCAATTTGTGGCGCTGAATGTCTGCGGAGTCTGTTTATTCGGGTTTTCCCCGAATACACACCTGTTTGTGGACGTCCCCTTTCAGGGGTGGAGTCTTCACTTACAAGACCAGATAAGCTCAGGGCTATGGCCCGGCGCACAATGGAAGTGGCACATAAACAACTTGGAGTTGGAAGCTTTAATTCTGGCTATATCACATTGGCAGAATCAACTACAGTTAGCCCGACTCGCTATATCCACAGACAACAGCACTGCGGTGTGGTGCCTGTGCAATCGGGGAACAACACACTCCCACTCTCCACTTCTAAGGACATTCAGATTTCTTCCATCTAGTGGATCGGCTGTGACTAAGGTTCATAGTTCAGCACATCCCCGGATGTAGAAACATACTGGCCGATACTTTATCACGTCCAGACAGGGTGGCTCCCACTGAGTGAAAATTTCTCACAGAAGCATTCCAGTTACTGCTTCAGGAATTCAGGCAACCAAACATTGACTTGTTTATTACTTGCCTAGGCCACCAACTCATGACGTATATCTCCCCGTTGCCGGATCCGCAGACTTGGGCGGTGGACGAGTTCAGTATCACTTGGGAAGGGCAAAGAACTAAAACTCTTCTGCCACCACTTTTACTTCCCAAGGTGCTACAGGGGATCAAGGAGACAAGGTATCTCGATCTCTCCTTTGGTCGCACCATGGTTACCGGCGAGTGGGTAGTTCGTCAAGCTCGGAAAAATCTAAAACGATTCACTTCCCCTCTCACAGTGGTCCAACCTACTCATCCACCCTCAACAGAAAATTGCCTCACCCAACGTCTGCACGCATGGTTCGTCTTTAAAAGGCGTTTAAGTGCGAAGGGTTATTTCGACACGGGCAGCAAAGCTATAGCTTTAGTTTATCGTTACTCTCCCAGAGACGACGATGACAAGTGGGGATCACTTGAGACTTTTTACAGGGAAGAAAAGAATCAAGACCCTACGATTGCGTCACAATTCCTAGAGGAATACCTCCTACATTGCGTACCCAAAAACACTTGGAAGGTAGCACCATTACTACGTAATTGGCTGCAATTATCTTAGTGTTGGCCGTTTCCGGAAAATCACAGTGTGATTAAGGTCACGGAACTACAGGCCATATTATGCTCATTCAGGTTTGAGGATCAGAAGGCCAAGTTCCAGCCACCTGATTGGGACTTGAACGTGGTACTTCAAGGTTTGCGAGGGCCCCCTTCGAGCCCCTCATTGCATCCTCATTTTCAAGCTCCTTCCCAGCGAGTGACACCTTCGTTACACTCTCGGTATAGTATAGAGAGCTCCGCGAACGGGCTATCGCTGTGAGGAGCTTGGACATCACCAAGGAAACAATGGTTTCTCTTGGCATTAGCAATGGCGGTACGGGTGAGCGAACTACATGTGATCGACTCAACCCGGATCCGTTTTGAGCATGGGACGCACGGAACGGGACATCTAGGGTTATGCTGGGATTTTATTGCTAAAATCTACTACCAGGCCAACCCGACCGTTCTTCACCATCCCACCGATATCGACTATTGTGGGAATCGTACATGGTGAAGTTCTCCTGGGCTCGGTGCGAGCAGTTCGAGTTTTCATTCGACGCTCCAAGACAAGGCGTGGTTCGTCCACGACAGAAGTTAGTCGCATAATCGCAAACACCATATCTATATGGTTACGCGCAGTAATCCTTCAGGCCTACGAGATCATCAAACGGAACTCGCCGAGAGCGAATTACCCTCAAGATCTCAAGGTGTCAGCCTTACCAGGGCTCAACACGGCAATTGTGGTTTTGGAACAATCACGGAAGGATATTTCTGGAGATTCGACACATATTTTCGTTAGTCATAACCTTCGCGTTGTGACTCTCGAGGATGTCGAAGACGTTCGAAGTTTGGCCCTCTGGTTGTTATCCTGCAGATTGCCAACCACTGACGCAAATAATGAACTCGCCCTATACAGAGCCAGTCAACTTCCATGTGCAGTCACTCAGTCGCCACCAGTGGAAGAATATTAGACAATCTTGTTTGTCAGCGACTGCTCTATGACGCAGTAAGTAAAGAATTAGCTGAATAGCTATTATTTTCTTTATTACTAAGCGTGTATAGGGAATTTCTCTTTAATTCCTATGTTCAATGTTTTTGATTTTTGAACAACCCTACCGTAATGGCGTTTTTGTCTGAACTTTTCCGCTTCACGGTTTATCGACCAAATGGGGTCGTATTGCAGGGTGTGAATTATTGAGGTTTCTGTATTCTGAAGGTTTACCACCTCCAAACCGTCCGATACAGATGCATTAAGGAGTAATGCAGGATAAGTAAAAAATTTAGTAAAATCTAAATATTTTTTACATTTGTATACTTATCCTGCATTACTACGCTTAAGGCCCACCCGTCGTTAGACTTGCCTCCCCACTTTGGCTTCAGAAACCTCAAAAGTATGTTTTTCTAAGAGCTTGGGCGACAGGCAGTGATGTGAAGATGACCTTAGGTGTCATCAAGGTCACAGGACAGCGACGGGAGGCCACTGATTGGGACTTGAGATCAACAACTTTATTTCTTCACCCAGGACCTTCGCAGCGCTGTCCTTCTAGTTGTCGTAAGTAAGCAGTGAATGCATTAAGGAGTAATGCAGGATAAGTATACAAATGTAAAAAATATTTAGATTTTACTAAATATCTGTGTATATAGTAAGAAACAAGGAAATATGCATAGCAGTTTTCCTGATCTGTAGGAGGGGGCACGGGTGGCCCAGTCGTCTAAGGCGCCGCGATTCGCTGTGCAGAGTTGCGTCCCTTGGGCACGCCAGAAACCTATGATTGTGGGTTCGAATCCCGGTTCGCTCTGATTATGTTTCCAGGTTTGTCAGCACCATACCCGTGCTCGTGGGTTTCACCGAAGTGGTAAACGTCTGAGACCTGCATCACTTCAGGCTTTCCTCCCACATTAAGCTGACACGCCGCGATATAACTGGAATATTGTTAAAAGCGGCGTGAAACCCAACTCACTCACTCATTGATTTTGAGCCAGTGGAGGTTCCGTAGAATCCGTGTGATATGGTCAAACTTTTTGGATTTAGTTGCTGTTGCTAAGTTGCTGTAATCTAACTTTCCAGTTTCTACCTATTCTACCCCCTGACGTTCGGCACATCTGGTCCAATGGCCAGTGAAGAAGGGTCCGTGATGAGTGGCCTCAAGTGGATGGACTCATGGGACATATGAAAGATGGTTGTGTGATGTACGAAAGTTTCCTGAGTCCGATTGATGGTGCTGGCAGAGGGTATCCTCCAAGCTATTGCTGCAATACAAGATAAACCTGCCAGCATATTACATTTACAAAACAAATTGTCATTCAACCATCGTCATCATCAACGTGGTCCAACTTGATATTATATTTTCTTGAGCCTAAGGTCCTTTACATGTTTTTGTGCGAACCATACTGGAGTTCGGAATGACAATACTGGTCATTTATTTACAAAATACTTATTCTGTGTAGTTTTACTATTTTAATGGTTTTGTTATTTTTTATGGATTTTATGATCTGGTATTTTGTACATTTAACCTTAAGCAAACCTTATACGGAAGTCATTGAATCCTCAAGTTACAGATCGGTTCAGTTTGTTTTGTTTCCACCGTTCTCGTTCTGACAACAGTGGCGAAATGGCAGCTGTGATGAAGTGATGTAGGAAGTCAAAATAACAAGGAGAGATGCCTGGGATGTATTCATGAAGTTATCAAGGACTAACGAATCAAAGTCATATTTGGATAATGTTTCAGAAAAATGAAATGAAATCCAAAACTGAGCGGTAAGATTCTCCCTGTCTTGACAAAACTCTCGGCATGTAGAAAACAAAGACATCAAATGTATATGTCAGAATCCGGTGTTTTGTACCAAGCCATGTTCCTCCTCTAACAGTTTATCATGGTCGATTGTTGTATCATAGATTATTGTTTCAATTAATTATGGGGAAGTAAACCTGTATTTGTTTTATCCTTCATTCTGAAGGTTTTGTGCAATTACATGTTGTTAAAATACGGATGTACGTTTCTGATACAGTAGATTGCTCTCTCATACACTGTGAGATGCATCGTAGATAGACTTGAGGTGCATCATTGATGGACTTGAGGTGCATCATTGATGGACTTGAGGTGCATCGTTTATGGACTTGAGGTGCATCATTGATGGACTTGAGGTGCATCGTTTATGGACTTGAGGTGCATCGTTGATGGACTTCAGGTGCATTGTAGATAGACTTCAGGTGCATCGTAGACTGACTTCAGGTGCATCGTTGATAGACTTGAGGCACATTGTAGACTGACTTCAGGTGCATCATAGACTGACTTCAGGTGAATCGTAGTCTGACTTCAGGTGAATCGTAGTCTGACTTGAGGTGCATTGTAGACTGACTTCAGGTGAATCGTAGTCCGACTTCAGGTGCATTGTAGATAGACTTGAGGCGCATCGTAGACTGACTTCAGGTGCATTGTAGATAGACTTGAGGCGCATCGTAGACTGACTTGAGGTGCATCATAGACTGACTTGTTCATGCAGTAATTGGTTCATTATTGTGTGTGTATAATAGACCTGGACCCCGCTTCAGGAAGCAGTCTTAGCGCTACGGCTATCGTTGATATATGTAAACTATGGGCGTTACAATTATCTTAGCGTTACAACTATCGTAATGGGCGGAATCCCGCCATTTTTATGGAACATTTTTTTATGAATCCCCCTAATCTCTACTCCCCCACCCCCCTTCTTAAACAACCTTCACCCATACAACAATGTAGAAAAGTAATTGTCTTGCAAGTCTTTTGTACGTATGCCATTGCAAATGTTGGCTTGTGTTTTGTATTGTTTATGGTTGTCACATTCCATTCAAAGTGTATGCAATAGATTGTGAGGGTAGCATGTTATGGTTCTTGATGATAGTCATGTTTGGGTAACCATGGTAACACATATCATTACACAGAGATGACAACAACGTAGGACAACATTATGCAGATATATATTCATCTTCCCCGTCATATATCACTAGTACTATATTTATGATGCTTACTTATGATAACAAGTCAAAATTAAGATCACATGCTGATCCTGTCAAATGCATCTTCCCTAGGCAATAGAATCAACTAGCCTTTATATCAAAGTCTTTTTTCCACCCTTGCCACATCAAGCCCACTTTCCTGTGCTAAAAGTCAACATCAATGATTTAACGCTGCCTGTCTTTGTTAACATGAATATGTCTCTTCATCTTTTAACCCCCAAAACGATTGCCTATGTTTTTGTGTCATGGATGAAGACGTGAATGTTTTCGTTATCTCATGAAAGAGGTCATCATCGTCTATGGTAGTCGTCATTTTTGTGAAGCTGTACGAGATCAGAACAGCGATCTGATTGGATATCGTGGTTTCATTATAAGGGGCGCAACTCTTGATCTACGCGAGGTGGCGCCAGGGTCGAGCCAAGAAAAGTGGCCTTAGTGTGGCAAGGGTAGATACTAGGCTTTGATATAGGCTAGTGGACAAGGTTGCCTTGGGAAGATGACCAAAATATTTTGTCCAATCATATAACATATAACATGTAATCCTGGTACTGGCGGGTGTATATTTCCAAGGATAATGGTTATGTTGAAGCACATGCCACTATGCCATCTACACAATGCTGTATCCTGAATATCTTATGGTGAATGTATTTTGTAATCATGTGCTATATCATATATCTGTTAGTATGATAAGGGGTCTGTATAGGAGAAAACATTTATTTTTATAGTTTGTGGAAAGTACTTTCAAAAAGGAGCTCAAGAAGTGTGCATGCTGATACTGAACGTGAACGAATATGATTGTGTTATCGAAGACGTCAATTGAAATTGTTATGATTGTTATAAGATATGTTTATGTGAATGAGAGCTAGACTTTGTTCATTTCAACACATGCATATCTAGGACTTATTTAAATATAAGGTTTAAATGTATCAAAAAGGCTGATTTAGAGGTTTTTAAAAAAGCATTTTAACATTTAAGCATGAGCAAGTCTTTGACCCAAGATGATTTTTTTGGGACACGTAGATCAAGACTATAAAAATTTGCCAAAAAATTCGTCTTGGTCACAGATTTGCTCATAGTTAGATTTGGTTTTAAGTTGGAAAAATCAGCATTTTTTTCTAATATTAGCCTTTCAGAAGTAAAAGAACTCACAAGTGTAAGAAAGAACAGCGTTTCTTGTCAACCATTTGAAATCTTTTTAGAAATGTCATACCATACAAAATTTGTCAAAACTTTAAGATTTATTATTTCTAATTGTCCAAAAAGGGCCCTTACCCTACATCGTGTTTTATGACATCAGACATTCCAGACTATAAGTGGGATAACTTTGTCAAGGTATTTTTCAAGCCTCGTCGGAAATGGAAGTCGCCAGGTTGAAACGAGTGCCGTAAAGCTCGAGAAAGCTGCTTTCTAATTGGCTGATGTTGACTTCTTGTTAGTCATTTTAGTGGTCGGTCAAAGTTCGCAAAAGGTCGTTCTGACGTGACCTGTAAAGGGATGTCCTCAGATCTTTGTTTAGCGGCAGCGGGAACTCAGATCTGAATTTTATGAGATTGCTGGTTGTTGTTAAAAAAATGTTTTGTGGGACCCAAAATAGCTGTTCCTTCTTGTATGTCTTGATGTCAGAAAAATGTCCAACAAAATCCCCCCCCCCCCCCCCCCCCCCCCCCCCTACACATCGTTAAACAGCTGATCCAAGATAATCACTAATGACATGAGTTGTTCCCCCTATTCCAGGACACAAAAACATAAATTCATAAATATCCAGAATAGTATTTTCACATTAATTTTCCTTGTAACTTTCTTTGTAATGCCAGTATTGATACCTGCTTTACATGATACATCATCTTATCTTATTATGGGTGAATCTAGATCTTTGTTGTCAGGTGTACCAATTATATATTTCGGTTCATGACATGACATCTTAGGGATGTCTGCTGGACTGTTTTAGTGTTTTCCTTTTTGTAAGAAACACATTTCTAAAAATATTGTTTAGATTTTTTTGTCCAAATGAAAACTTCGGGTGTCATTGTGTATTCCATTACCTGGGGGGGGGGGGGGGGGGGGGGGGGGGTGCGGTCGGGTAGCCCGGGTAGCCCAGTAGGTAAGGCGTTCGCTCGTCACACTGAAGACCCGGGTTTGATTCCCGACATGGGTACAATGTGTGAAGCCCATTTCTTATGTCCCCCGCCGTGATCTTGCTGGAATATTGCTAAAAGCGGCGTAAAACCATATTCACTCACTCACTCCATTACCGGAGTCACACTTTTTAACTACCTTGTGAAATTAACACTTTAACATGGAGAAAGATTGCAATGTACGTGCAATAATCTTTAATGTGATGTTGAACCCCATTTCACTTCACCCCCCTCACCATGGAGGGAAATCTCTCCCATTGTTAAAACGTTTTGCATGAAAGTATCATTAATAGTATGTAACCTTTATGAATAGTTTAATTACATCTTGATATCATGTTTTTCAATATCTGTTATTAAAATAAATAAAATTTCTTTATGTGAGTGTGATAATATTTTAGCAAATGGATAAAAATATGCACATTTAGTCTTTCCCTTATATTTCTTACATGTAGAGACTTATACTGATGTCAGATGGTGTTATGACTTAGACTACAGTGCAGTGGCATTAGAGTTTAAAGAACTTTACAGTGAGATTTCATCGCATGTTTGCTGTATGCAATATTAATTCGCGATCTATGTCAAAATAGGAATCAATTGGTATTTCATTTGATACAAAGTGACATATCTGATGATTTGACTTTTTGTCTGTTATCATTGGCTGAATAGCCTCATTTTTGTGACAGATTTTTTTTAACCTTTGTGTTGTTAAAACCTTCCATTTCAGTAGACGGTCACCCTCTGACCTCCTCCAAATCCAGAACATACCAATCAAAATCATATACACCATGTCAATAAAACAGTCCGCATGATTTTTGTACTCAAGGTGGATGTTGATATGATTACTGCTGACTTTCAAGATTACATGGCACATGATGCTTTAGTTACTCCCATCAGTATTTGAACATGATGATCTTGCTGCAAGATTCTGCAGTGTGACCTGACACATTCCAGTGGCCATCTTCCCGAGGCAAGAGAGTTAATTGACTTTAAAAGTCCAGTTTCCACCCTTGCCGAACTAAGCTGGAATTACTGGGCTCGATTGTAGCGCCACCAGTGGCTGTTACCAGTCATGTCCCTTCTAAG